ATGTCCCCTCCTGTAGTTATATGGTCCCACCTGTAGTTATATGGTCCCTCCTGTAGTTATATGTCCCCTCCTGTAGTTATATGGTCCCTCCTGTAGTTATATGGTCCCACCTGTAGTTATATGGTCCCTCCTGTAGTTATATGTCCCCTCCTGTAGTTATATGTCCCCTCCTGTAGTTATATGGTCCCACCTGTGGTTATATGGCCCCACCTGTAGTTATATGGTCCCACCTGTAGTTATATGGTCCCTCCTGTAGTTATATGTCCCCTCCTGTAGTTATATGGTCCCTCCTGTAGTTATATGGTCCCACCTGTAGTTATATGGTCCCTCCTGTAGTTATATGTCCCCTCCTGTAGTTATATGTCCCCTCCTGTAGTTATATGGTCCCACCTGTGGTTATATGGCCCCACCTGTAGTTATATGGTCCCACCTGTAGTTATATGGACCCACCTGTAGTTATATGGTCCCACCTGTAGTTATATGGTCCCTCCTGTAGTTATATGGTCCCAGCTGTGGTCCCTCCTGTAGTTATATGGTCCCACCTGTAGTTATATGGTCCCAGCTGTAGTTATATTGTCCCACCTGTAGTTATATGGTCCCACCTGTAGTTATATGGTCCCACCTGTAGTTATATGGTCCCACCTGTAGTTATATGGTCCCACCTGTAGTTATATGGTCCCTCCTGTAGTTATATGGACCCACCTGTAGTTATATGGCTCCACCTGTAGTTATATGGTCCCACCTGTAGTTATATGGCCCCACCTGTAGTTATATGGTCCCACCTGTAGTTATATCGTCCCTCCTGTAGTTATATGGTCCCACCTGTGGTTATATGGCCCCACCTGTAGTTATGTGGTCCCACCTGTAGTTATATGGTCCCACCTGTAGTTATATGGTCCCTCCTGTAGTTATATGGTCCCACCTGTAGTTATACGGTCCCTCCTGTAGTTATACGGTCCCTCCTGTAGTTACAGTGCCCTCCACAATTATTGGCACCCCTGTTTAAGATGTGGTCGAGGACTTCCAAAAATTCTCCTTTTTTTTTAAACAACATAGAACCCAAATGCAAAAAAAGAGAAAAATCCAACCTTTTATTTAAGAACATTACTTTGGTGTAAAAAAAAAATATCACACATTTAGAAAAAAAAAACTTGAAATCATGTGTCCCACAATTATTGGCACCCCTGATGTTAATACTTTGTACAACCCCCTTTTGCCAACAAGACAGCACTTAATCTCCTCCTATAACATTTCACAAGATTGGAGAACACAGAGAGAGGGATCTTTGACCATTCTTCTTTGCACAATCTTTCTAGATCATCCAGTGTCCTGGGTCCTGTCTTATGCACTCTCCTCTTTAGCTCGCCCCACAGGTTTTCGATTGGGTTGAGGTCTGGGGACTGAGATGGCCATGGGAGGACCTTGAGTTTGTGACTGCTGAACCATTTTTGTGTAGATTTTGCCACATGTTTTGGATCATTATCCTGCTGAAAGACCCAATGACGACCCATCTTCAGCTTTCTGGCAGAGGCCATCAGGTTTTTATTTAAAATGTCCTGGTAGTTCAAAGCGTTCATAATGCCATGCACCCTAACAAGGTTCCCAGGGCCTTTGGAAGAGAAACAGGCCCACAGCATCACAGATCCTCCACCATACTTCACGGTGGGCATGAGGTGCTTTTCGGCATACTCATCTTTTGTTTTACGCCAGACCCACTTAGTGTTTGTTGCCAAAAAGCTCAATCTTAGTCTCATCTGACCAAAGCACACGATCCCAGTTGAAGTCCCAGTGCCGCTTAGCAAACTCCAGACGTTTACGTTTGTGAGTGTTAGTGAGAAAAGGCTTTTTCCTTGCATGCCTCCCAAACAGCTTGTTGGCATGTAGAGAGCGTCTGATGGTTGTTTTGGAGACTTTGTGACCCCAAGATGCCACTCTTTGATGCAATTATGTGACAGTGAGCTTAGGACTTTTTTTTACTTCTCTTACCATCCTCCTCACTGTGCGTTGTGGCAAGATAAACTTGGGACCTCTTCCAGCCTTGTTTGTCACTGTTTCAGTTGTTTTAAACTTCTTAATGATTCCTCTGACTGTAGATACGGGCAAGTTAAGGCGAGTGGCTATTTTCTTGTAGCCATTGCCTGACTTATGAAGGTCGACACAAATCTGCCTTACTTGAATGGTGTGTTCTCTTGTCTTTGCCATGTTGACAAATGGGTTAGAGAATTAGGCCTCTGTGTCACGTCATATTTATACCCCAGGGAAACATGAAGTCATGAATTACTAATTAAAAGTTCCTAGATACCCTGACCAACTTTAGCAACTACAGAAAAATATATTTAAAAAAAAAATCAATTAAAATTTTCAGCGGAATTGTTAGGGGTGCCAATAATTGTGGGACACATGATTTCAAGTTTTTATTTTTCTAAAAGTGTGATTTTTTTTTTACCACCAAAGTAATGTACTTAAATAAAAGGTTGGATTTTTCTCTTTTTTTGCATTTGGGTTCTATGTTGTTTAAAAAAAAAAGGAGAATTTTTGGAAGTCCTCAACCACATCTTAAACAGGGGTGCCAATAATAGTGGAGGGCACTGTATATGGTCCCACCTGTAGTTATATGGTCCCTCCTGTAGTTATGTGGTCCCTCCTGTAGTTATATGGTCCCACCTGTAGTTATATGGTCCCACCTGTAGTTATATGGTCCCACCTGTAGTTATATGGTCCCACCTGTAGTTATATGGTCCCACCTGTAGTTATATGGTCCCTCCTGTAGTTATATGGACCCACCTGTAGTTATATGGCTCCACCTGTAGTTATATGGTCCCACCTGTAGTTATATGGTCCCTCCTGTAGTTATATGGTCCCTCCTGTAGTTATATGGTCCCTCCTGTAGTTATATGGTCCCACCTGTAGTTATATGGTCCCACCTGTAGTTATATGGTCCCACCTGTAGTTATATGGTCCCAGCTGTAGTCCCACCTGTAGTTATATGGTCCCACCTGTAGTTATATGGTCCCACCTGTGGTCCCACCTGTAGTCCCACCTGTAGTTATATGGTCCCACCTGTAGTTATATGGTCCCACCTGTGGTCCCACCTGTAGTCCCACCTGTAGTTATATGGTCCCACCTGTAGTTATATGGTCCCACCTGTAGTTATATGGTCCCACCTGTAGTTATATGGTCCCAGCTGTAGTTATATGGTCCCACCTGTAGTTATATGGTCCCACCTGTAGTTATATGGTCCCACCTGTAGTTATATGGTCCCACCTGTAGTTATATGGTCCCACCTGTAGTTATATCATCCAACCTGTAGTTATATGGTCCCACCTGTAGTTATATGGTCCCACCTGTAGTTATATGGTCCCACCATGTAGATCTCCTCTAGAGCAGTGATGTTTTGGGGCTGTCGCTGGGCAACACTGACTTTCAACTCCCTCCAAAGATTTTCTATGGGGTTGAGATCTGGAGACTGGCTAGGCCACTCCAGGACCTTGAAATGCTTCTTACGAAGCCACTCCTTCGTTGCCCGGGCGGTGTGTTTGGGATCATTGTCATGCTGAAAGACCCAGCCACGTTTCATCTTCAATGCCCTTGCTGATGGAAGGAGGTTTTCACTCAAAATCTCACGATACATGGCCCCATACATTCTTTCCTTTACACGGATCAGTCGTCCTGGTCCCTTTGCAGAAAAACAGCCCCAAAGCATGATGTTTCCACCCCCATGCTTTACAGTAGGTATGGTGTTCTTTGGATGCAACTCAGCATTCTTTGTTCTCCAAACACGACGAGTACATGCCCAATCCTCTTCTGGATCATCCAAATGCACTCTAGCAAACTTCAGACGGGCCTGGACATGTACTGGCTTAAGCAGGGGGACACGTCTGGCACTGCAGGATTTGTGTCCCTGGCGGCGTAGTGTGTTACTGATGGTAGGCTTTGTTACTTTGGTCCCAGCTCTCTGCAGGTCATTCACTAGGTCCCCCCGTGTGGTTCTGGGATTTTTGCTCACCGTTCTTGTGATCATTTTGACCCCACGGGGTGAGATCTTGCGTGGAGCCCCAGATCGAGGGAGATTATCAGTGGTCTTGTATGTCTTCCATTTCCTAATAATTGCTCCCACAGTTGATTTCTTCAAACCAAGCTGCTTACCTATTGCAGATTCAGTCTTCCCAGCCTGGTGCAGGTCTACAATTTTGTTTCTGGTGTCTTTTGACAGCTCTTTGGTCTTGGCCATAGTGGAGTTTGGAGCTTGACTGTTTGAGGTTGTGGACAGGTGTCTTTTATACTGATAACAAGTTCAAACAGGTGCCATTAATACAGGTAACGAGTGGAGGACAGAGGAGCCTCTTAAAGAAGAAGTTACAGGTCTGTGAGAGCCAGAAATCTTGCTTGTTTGTAGGTGACCAAATACTTATTTTCCACCATCATTTGCAAATAAATTCATAAAAAATCCTACAATGTGATTTTCAGGGAAAAAAATTCTCAATTTGTCTGTCATAGTTGACGTGTACCTATGATGAAAATTACAAAATGAGTCATGTTTGGGGATCTGTATTCAAATAGTTTTAAAAAGTAGTCCTTTTTGGGGATTTGTATTCAAATAGTTGTAGTCACTTCCAAAGTAACTATTTGTTCCCCCTGAAAAATAGTTACTTTCCCCAAAGCAGAGTTACAACTAGTTATCCCAGGTCTGCAGTAGGTTATGCTCTGTGAACAACCGCATTGGCTTCGAAACAAATCAACCAGACATAATTAAGATTCTAGAAGGGCTCCTTAGAACCAAACACATAAGCTGTGTTCCATTCAGCAGACTTCCATGCTAATGGAGCAGGCTAATGGAGCAGGAAATAAAAGCATGAACATTTCTATAGCTTCCATATTATTTAGTTTACAATATGACTGACATACTGTGGTATTAGGACCCACTATACATCCTCAGCATTACTTCCAGAGACCCTCATCCCCCCCCCCCCTCTCCTCTCTCTCTCTTCTGTCCCTCAGCACTTTGACTTCCCTCTGCCCAGCCCTCTGAAGGTGTTTGAGATGTTGGTGGTTCCAGAGCAGGAGTACCCCATGGTGTGTGTAGCCATCAGCCAGGCCACGGAGCCAGGCCAAGTTGTCCGCTTTGAGACCATCAACCTCAACTCCTGCTCCTCCTGGTTCACTGAGATGGGATCAAGTAAGGAACAAACACACACACACAGAGACAGAGACAGAGACAGAGACAGAGAGAGAGAGAGGGGGAGAGAGACAGAGAGAGGGAGAGAGAGAGAGAGAGAGAGAGAGAGAGAGAGAGACTCCTACTTGTTCACTGAGATGGGATCAATAGGCACCAAACGGAAGAGAACTGAAACTTGGAAGGACTATCTAGACTACCTGAAATGCTCATTTTCTGTTGCAAAACATGTCGTTTTAAAACGGTGAACACAACCCTAGATTCATACAGTATGTACACATTGAAACACCCCCTACCATTTTGATCTCTTCCTGGTTTCCAGTAGGGATGTCTTTATGCTAACCATTATTTTCTATATGTCATCCCTTAGCTGGACAAGCAGTGGACGCAGTCCATGTGACCCAGCTGGAGAGAGACACAGTGCTAGTGTGCTTGGACAGTAAGTATGACCTCTGACCCCACAGAGATGATGACCTCCTGCACTTTGGTTGCGTCCCAAATGTCACCCTATTCCCTATGTAGTGCACTACTTTTGACCAGGGTCCATAGATGCAAGGCCCATAGGGCTCTGGTCAAAAGTAGTGCACTATATAGGGAATAGGGTGCTACTTGGGACGCCCCTTCAGTCTAACTAGTCCTGCACTGCACTGAGAAAGTAGAAAAGCTATTCATCGTTTGCCCTACACTCATTTACATTTTATTTAACCAGGAAAAGACCTTTGAGGTTAGAAACCTATTTTTTCGAGGGGCACCTGGCAAGAGGTCAGCAGGAAGTTGTCTGCGTGTTCACACAACGCAATACAATACAATACAATACAATACAATACAATACAATACAACGCAATACAACGCAATACAATACAATACAACGCAACGCAACGCAACGCAACGCAACGCAACGCAACGCAACGCAACGCAACGCAACGCAACGCAACGCAACGCAACGCAACGCAACACAATACAATACAATACAATACAACACAATACAATACTTTTAAAAATGTCAGCCTTTGCCCAACCCCTTCAAATTAAAATGCATTCAAGTGAGAAGTTGTGGGTGGGGGGTATTGCTCATAAATATTCATTGTGGGGGGGGGTAAACCTAGTTGGACCTGATCCCAACACTTTCTCACTAAAGCATACTTACTAGATGTCCACTGGCACACTGATAATAAAATGATGTGCATCGCGAGCAAAGACTGCTCTGGACAGTTGGCTCACAGTGGTAAGGCTCTGGACAGTTGGCTCACAGGGTAAGGCTCTGGACAGTTGGCTCACAGTGGTAAGGCTCTGGACAGTTGGCTCACAGTGGTAAGGCTCTGGACAGTTGCTCACAGTGGTAAGGCTCGACAGTTTGGCTCACAGTGGTAGGCTCTGGACAGTTGGCTCACAGTGGTAATGGGTCTGGACATTGCTCACATGGTAAGGCTCTGGACAGTTGGCTCACAGTGCTAAGGCTCTGGACAGTTGGCTCACAGTGGTAAGGCTCTGGACAGTTGGCTCACAGTGGTAAGGCTCTGGACAGTTGGCTCACAGTGGTAAGGCTCTGGACAGTTGGCTCACAGTGGTAAGGCTCTGGACAGTTGGCTCACAGTGGTAAGGCTCTGGACAGTTGGCTCACAGTGGTAAGGCTCTGGACAGTTGGCTCACAGTGGTAAGGCTCTGGACAGTTGGCTCACAGTGGTAAGGCTCTGGACAGTTGGCTCACAGTGGTAAGGCTCAAGCCACTTGCGGTGTAAGTTTGAATCCCCCCCCATGGGGCGCAAAACAAATCTTAGAGATGTGGACTCACATTTATTGCGATATTGTGTTGGGAAGAAAAGCGCAATCGTCACCCTTGAAAATTAAGATTAGGGGCTCAATTCAATCTGACCTGCATTGCAGTATTTACGCAGGAGCTCTTTTTCAAATGGTCAAATTAACTCACAGATTGGTCTTGGGTACTGTATAAAAACCTGACATGTTTCAATTGACATGTTTCACTATAACTAAGCCTGAAACATCTGGTTTTCACATGAATTAATTTTTTTCATAAAAGTTACTCTAAAACAGTCACGATGGTCAACAACATTCTCCTCTATCAGAGCTTTAAACTCAGACAGCGATACCCGGTTTTTCTCCGGTTTTTTAAAGTATTTTGCAGCTCATTCTGAGACCAAGGAGCGTTTTATAAATTAGCACAGTTATCTTTGACCCCATTTCAGGAACCGCGAAAGATCGCAGCAGCTGAGAACGGACCCTAAGTTTGTGATGACCTTGCAAGTGAGGATGTATAAACGCCTGCTTTTATCTCCGGCCCACTATTCTAAAGCCTTTTATCTCCGGCCCACTATTCTAAAGCCTTTTATCTCCGGCCCACTATTCTAAAGCCTTTTATCTCCGGCCCACTATTCTAAAGCCTTTTATCTCCGGCCCACTATTCTAAAGCGTTTTATCTCCGGCCCACTATTCTAAAGAGTTTTATCTCCGGCCCACTATTCTAAAGCGTTTTATCTCCGGCCCACTATTCTAAAGCCTTTTATCTCCGGCCCACTATTCTAAAGCCTTTTATCTCCGGCCCACTATTCTAAAGCCTTTTATCTCCGGCCCACTATTCTAAAGCGTTTTATCTCCGGCCCACTATTCTAAAGCCTTTTATCTCCGGCCCCACTATTCTAAAGCTTTTATCTCCGGCCCACTATTCTAAAGCATTTTATCTCCGGCCCACTATTCTAAAGCGTTTTATCTCCGGCCCACTATTCTAAAGCGTTTTATCTCCGGCCCACTATTCTAAAGCGTTATTGCTCTTTTTCCTTGTAGAGAATCTGAAGATCGTGAACCTCCAGGGAAGATTAAAGTCCAACAAAAAGCTAGCCTCGGAACTCAGCTTTGACTTCGCCGTTGGATCCGTTGGTACGATGAGCTCTTTAATATTATTCAACCCCCCCACTACTCGACCTTCAGTGTTATAACGTAGTTATGGTTTCCCTGTATTCGTATCCTGTTAGCCTTTCTTCAACCACCAGGCATCCCTTTTTTGTTCATGTCAACCATGGACCATTGTATATTCATGTGTTCGATGATATCCTCCCTGTCTTTAACATTCCCTCTCCTCCAGTGAAGGCGTTATACTTTGTGTAATAACTGTGTGTAAATAACGAGGTGTATGATAACTGCCCTCCTGCTTCAGTGTGCCTTCAGGATAGTGTTCTGGCCTTCTGGAGGCACGGCATGCAGGGAAAGAGCTTCAAGTCCAACGAGGTAGGTGTTACTACGTCATCTTTAACCGTACTATCACACTCTAAACATGCTCCACATTGTGCAATCAAACTGAATCTAAATAGGATTATGGCTTGGAGACTATAACAAAACTGGTAGACTACAATACAGTCAAATCTATACAGGAGGAAACATGTAAAGGCACCAGTTAGATCTATACAGGAGGAGGAATGTAAAGGCACCAGTCAGATCTATACAGGAGGAGGAATGTAAAGGCACCAGTCAGATCTATACAGGAGGAGGAATGTAAAGGCACCAGTCAGATCTATACAGGAGGACGAATGTAAAGGCACCAGTCAGATTTATACAGGAGGAGGAATGTAAAGGCACCAGTCAGATTTATACAGGAGGATACATGTAAAGGCACCAGTCAGATCTATACAGGAGGAGGAATGTAAAGGCACCAGTCAGATCTATACAGGAGGAGGAATGTAAAGGCACCAGTCAGATCTATACAGGAGGAGGAATGTAAAGGCACCAGTCAGATCTATACAGGAGGAGGAATGTAAAGGCACCAGTCAGATCTATACAGGAGGAGGAATGTAAAGGCACCAGTCAGATCATGTGTGATGGAAAGACAAGTGTAGGGCTCAAGATCCGACTGAAATTTTGCGGGTGGGGAGAGAGCGAGAGAGGGTTGAGGAGGCTTGAAGCCTCAGAGGGGGAGGGGCAGGTAGCCTCAGAGGGGGAGGGGCAGGTAGCTTCAGAGGGGGAGGGGCAGGTAGCTCCAGAGGGGGAGGGGCAGGTAGCCTCAGAGGGGGAGGGGCGGGTAGCTTCGGGGGGGGGGGGCAGGTAGCCTCAGAGGGGGGAGGGGCAGGTAGCCTCAGAGGGGAGAGGCACTTGGCAAAGATGTTCAGCTGGCACGGTTCCAACCCCTGGTCAAATGTAGTCCATGTTGACATAATTTCATTTTCCATACTGAGGAAACATCACGTGTTGCTACTTCAGCTAGGTGTTTGGCTGTCTCAGGGATTGTGGAAGTGTGGAAGTGGTGTATACTCATGTCTCTGTGGTGAGCCTCGTCTCTCTATCAGAGAGAGAGACGAAAAAACAGAGAGAAAGCAAACAAAAAAAAAACCAGAATAAGCCCCAAAAAAGCCCCAAAAAACAACTAAAAAATCGGACTATACTCCAAAAAAACAAACCACACCAAACAAACATACAACCTACTTCCAAACCCCACTGAGATCAGCTTTCAAAAGCACAGAGAGCCCTAGTAGCCACTCCTCCTCTCCCCGAGAAACCTCCTACTCTCTCCTTCTCTAGAGCAGTCAAGCTCCCATCAGAGAAAAAAAAGACCCGTACCCCTCTCCTCCATCCCCTCCTTCTAACTGTCCCGCACTCTGAGACAGATAGAGCCATCGTCTCAATGCATACCCAGTCACTGGATAAGCCTCAACCTGCCCTAAACACCCCACGATCGTATCATCTACTCACTCTCCTCTCTCTGTCATCTACTCTCTGCCCACCCTCTCTCTCCCCTCCTTCTCTCTCTATCTTCTCTCTTCTCTCTTCTTCTCCTCTTTCCCCCTCTCTCCCCTCTCTGTCCCCTCTTCTCCTCTCTCTCTCTCCTCTCTCTCTCACCCTCTCCTTCTCTCTTCTCTCTCTCTCTCTCTCTTCTCTGTCCTCTCTCCTCTTTCTCTCTCCCCCTCGTCTTCCCTCTCCTCTTCTGTCCCCCTGTCCCTCTCTCTCCTCTGTCCCTGTCCCGCTCTCCCCATCTGCCCCTCTCTCTCCTCTCCTGTCCCTCTCCTCTCTCCTTTCCGTCCTGCCTCCGCGGGGGGGGGGGGGGGGTCGTCCTGTAGAAAACACAAACTCACTTCCTTGACAACAGCTCCGCGAAGCGCAAGCAGTATGAATGCCCTCACTTCTGCTGAGGCCTAAATGCTGCATGGCCAATGCAGACGTTGGATTGACCATGCGCCCAGATGCACAATGCACTTCTCTCTCCAGAATGCACTTCTCTCTCCAGAATGCACTTCTCTCTCCAGAATGCACTCTCTCCCGCCAATTTGTGCACATTTATTGTTTCATGACTTCATTGTATGGATTGTTTGCGTTTGATTGTTAGTGTATATCAAATTCCCCATTTACATATATCACCAGTAGTACATTTACCATTAATTCCTATAATTTGTCATCTACAATGTTTGTTACTTTGGTTACGGTAATTTCTGTTAAGGTATTATTCCAGTCTTCCCGTTGTCGTTGTCGGAGTGGACATTGTTTGCAGAGTGCACAACCTATGCTACACTTGTGAGAAACAAGTTTTGTCAATTTAGTCATTGTCTTTTGTTTGGAGCGCTCCTGTCAATGTTGAGTTAAGGATCGCACACATAAAGGAGGCCTATAGGCTACCTGGCCTTCGCGCAAATGGAGGCATATAAATGTGCCCATTTGGGGATCTGATAGTATTTCTGATTGGCTTAACGCACCACCACTAATGAGCTGTGGAGCTTCTCAAGCAAACAAAGTCTGTTTTAACATCCAATGAGAAGTACAATAGTTCCTCAATTTATTTGAAAAATCTTTCCAGCTCTCTCCCTTTCGATATCCACTCAGCGTGAAAGGGAATAATGTCATGCTCTGATCCGATGGAAACGTCATAAAATAGGCCTACCTGATTACTTCTTATCAGTGCTTGACTTGGACTGAAATAGGTTCCGGTACTCATTTTGGGTGCTGGTACTGTTTATATTTAGGTGCAGGAGCTCCACAATACTTTTGAGCTAATATTCTATAAGAGGAACAGAAGCTCAAGCAGTAGAACATTTGAGGTGCCGGTACTCAGCTCCGGCTCAAGTCAAGCACTGTTTCTTATCCCTTGCGCAAATAGCCTACAGCTGGGTCTGTCCCGAGCTCACTGGTGGGGAAACTTAGGGCCCAGAATATTTTATACAATGTTGCAAGTTCGCTAGAGCAAGGTTCAGGGCCGGACCCAACTTAATAGTTGATACTATGTTTCAAGTTCGTTGCAGACAGGCCATGTGTAGCCAGTGTGATTTATAGGATATTTATTTTTATCAGGATATTTTCTACCTGCAGGCTGCAATGTTTTTATTTGTTGGCTTTATGTAGGCTATTTTGACATAGTTGGAAATGGCAATAGAAGTTACTTTTTAGGTTTGTATCATTTAAATTTAAATTTGGATAGAATTTTGATTAACCACATGACAATGATTTTGCGATATGAAGACGTTATAAATTAAATGAAACTGTTTCACGAAAATGTGCATATGAAAACCGTAACTGGCACGCAGATCTGTAGAAATTGTAAGATAAATTGGCATTCAACATGAGAAAGGTTGCCGACTCCTGGTGTAGCCTGTTACCGGCAGAATCTGCGAAAGCCAGCAGGAGCAGGAGGAGAATAGTTGGGTCAGGTTAAGGTTTTTTCCTCCTGGTTATCTAGATCTCTGGCTCCCTCTTGAGGCATTTGTCTTATTTCATCAAACTGTAAGCTTAAAGCATCAGACAAGCTCAATGCGTATAGTTTATTTTATTAAAGCACATAGGGCGTGTCTATATATGGAAAAAATACACGTTTAAACATTTAGACCAATCGATTGGTTAAAAAAAGACAACTTACGGTAAAACAATATTTTTTTTAGTCGGGGACAGCCCTAGATCAGATGACCCTGTACTAGGTGTGAGTCCTTAGCCTGACAGAGACCCATCTGGTTAGGGTTTACCTACCCAGGGTTACCCGGGGTCCTGATGACGAGGAGAACAAGGCCTTTAGGTGGGCCAGGGAGGTGCCCGCTGGAGCGATCAGCCAGCCAGGCACCATATCGATAGACTTATGTCCCGTCCCCCCTTCACTGCCTTCCTTCAATGAGGCTTTTCAACAGAATCATACAGGAGACTGAGAGGGTGAATAATTGAACAGCCCACCTTCTCCCTCTGTTGTGCAGCTGTTTCATTTCTGATGAACATGAATACTGCATGGCATCTGACATTTTGACAGGCTAACGTGTTGCTCCACCCTGGTACACACACACTGCACTGTGCTGTAACGCTGGGCTGAGCACAGACCCCAGCCAACACACAGCCTTGTTTCAGCTCAGTCATACACAACTGTGTGTGTGCCTGACAGACTGTAGCAGTGAAAAGATGGCCCTGGGTGTCCCCTATCACTTTTCATAAAAACAAAATACCTCACCTCACAGTGATCTCTGGACTTTTATTGTGTGTGTGTGTCTCTCTCACTGTGTGCGCGTCGTGGCATGCCTGGTGATCAGGTTAACATGAGATCCTCTCTGTGAAAGGTTGACAACTTCATTACCTGCAGGTGGACACAGAGACACGTAGCTTAATGTTGCGTAGCCTCAGAGTGTGAACCCAGAGGACTATCTCCTGGCCTCATAAATGTAGCCAGGCAGCGAAACACTGAAACCATCTGAACTCTGATGAGCACAGTAACCTACGGTTGGCAGGGGGTGGTCTACTGAGGTCATGAAGGTGGTCTACTGAGGTCATGGGGGGTGGCCTACTGAGGTCATGGGGGGTGGCCTACTGAGGTCATGGGGGGTGGCCTACTGAGGTCATGGAGGTGGTCTACTGAGGTCATGGGGGTGGTCTACTGAGGTCATGGGGGTGGTCTACTGAGGTCATGGGGGTGGCCTACTGAGGTCATGGGGGTGGTCTACTGAGGTCATGAAGGTGGTCTACTGAGGTCATGGGGGGTGGCCTACTGAGGTCATGGGGGGTGGCCTACTGAGGTCATGGGGGGGTGGTCTACTGAGGTCATGGGGGTGGTCTACTGAGGTCATGGGGGGTGGTCTACTGAGGTCATGGGGGTGGTCTACTGAGGTCATGGGGGTGGTCTACTGAGGTCATGGGGGTGGCCTACTGAGGTCATGGGGGTGGTCTACTGAGGTCATGGGGGTGGTCTACTGAGGTCATGGGGGTGGCCTACTGAGGTCATGGGGGTGGTCTACTGAGGTCATGGTGTGGTCTGTCTGTCTGGTCATGGTGTGGTCTGTCTGTGGTCATGG